ATATTTGCATGTGATGCATTGTCTAAATGGCAATGCTTTGTAACCAGGAAACCATTTTTTGCCAGTGACTCCAAATTTATTTAGAGAACCTGACCATTAGAATGAGAGATCTATTTGTGTAGCAAAATGCAGTTCTGGTTCCTTATTGCTACCTGGAGAACACTTGATCCATAATAGCGCAGAAGTTATCCATGGCTACTATCTGGATTTATATTAAAAACTGAGCTATAGCAAGGAGTTACCACTGCTGTGAGAAGTAAAGTTCTGTCCCCTAACAAACAAAAGTAAAAGTAATGGATTGGAAGGAGCCATTCACGTTAGGAAGACTAAACCCTGTTCAGTGCAGGAATTCCTATTGAAGCCTCCAAATTAGGAAGGCAGCCTAATTTCCCCTTGATCGCTGTCTGTGAAAGTGAGCCTGCTGTCTCTCCGCATAATTCATGATTCTTTGCCTCTGCATAAAAATTCCACTTAAATAATTTTGGAGAGGAATCTAGCTAACCCTGATTTCTTGCTATTGATTGAATATAAACAAATACTGTAAGAAGCTATTCATTCTCCTTCCACCAATTCAGGAAAAACATTTTGTATGAGAATGAAATGAGTTAGATTGAAAAGGAAGTCACATTTCATGTTCACAACTCATTACTGCAAACAAGAGGAGCAAATAGCCTTAAATGAAAGATAAGAAATATAAATAGCGGAACTTATGAGTCATTGGGGAAACAAGTATAAAAGGAGGAGCAAGATGGGCAGATGTCTCCTTTGCTGACAAGTAGACAATCTCATCACTGTGAAATATATAAAATGTATTTGCGCTGACTGCTGGAACTCCAAATAGCTCCCGGAATAAATGTTGCAACAAATGTGGGTTTATATCCCCAACACATTGCACAGTCGATCTATTCATCTAGGGACGTTTAAATTTATTTCCTTGTTGATCTTGCTGCTTGGCCCTAAGCAAATCTTTCTCAGTCTCAATTCACTCTGCCCTGAATAAGTTTTTAATGACTCATTTTGCAAGATTATTCTGAGTTTGTAAGAGAGGAGCACTGCAAAGTACTGTTCACAAAAAAGGTGCAATTAAAATGCATAATAATAATATTCTAATTATGCTTCAATATTTCTTCCTGAATTTAAATGATAAATGCATGTCACGAACGGTTTTCGCATTACTTGGATTAAACCCAAGAAACTGAGGAAAATAAAATCAAATAAATGTAAACAAGCATTAACATAATAGTAAGCATATTGAAACAAGGCGGGGGTGGGTGGGTGGGAAAGATTGCTTGAGGTCATAATGGATTGGCTTCTTAGGCTGAATTAAGGCTTGAACTGGAGGTTTCTTTGTCCCTATATGGACGGGTCTTAAGTTTACTATGGGATTAGGAGTTAACTAAATCATTCCCTTGGTAAAGCATCCATGAACATTTCTATCGGTGTTCATGAATATCCTGCTAATATCTGTGTTTTATTTTACTTTCTAAAATTTGGTTTAGGAAATATGTTTCCAAAGGGTTTTTGAAATGAAATACTGCTCCCTCCAGCCACCTCCTATCTTAATTTAACAGATTTAACAGAACAGAATAACAGAGTTAGAAGGGGTCCTTGGAGCTCTTCTAGTCCATGCTTAACCAGAGACTCTATACCAGTCCAGACAAGTGACTGCCCAGTTTCTTCTTAAAAGCCTCCAGTGATGGAGCACCCGCAACTTCTGAAGGCAAGCCATTCTACTGGTTAATTGTTGTCACTAATTTCGCCTTAGTTTTAGGTTGCTTCTCTCCTTGGTTAGTTTCCATCCATTGTTTCTTGTTTCTTGTCTTGCCTTCTGGTGCTTTGAAAAATAGACCAACCTCCTTTTGCATGAAAATCCCACATTGACCTAGAGGTGTCCTCAAGTTCAGCTCAAATTATTATGACTTCATGGATATACATTCATGAAATTTATTTGGCTGAAGTGATTTGCAATCACTTCCTTCCAGGGTCCTTCCCCCCCCCCCAGCTTCCCAGCTTAGCTTGAAGCACATTCTTTGACGATCTCTCATTTGAATATTTACCAGACCTGAATCTGCTTGGGGTTTGGGTGTGGGGACAGCCAAAATCTGTAAGGTACTGAAACATAATATTAATTATATATGAGTGAACTTTGACAACAATACTAAAGTAAACTTGTATATAGCTTGAGCTAGCAATAAGGTATTGGAATACAATACACTTTTCTATAAATCAGAGAATATTCTTATTATTTCAAGCAAAAAGGACATTCAGATAAGATAATAATGAGCAAGGCTTCTGAGAAGCTTTAAGGTGATTCCAGCAAGCTTGAATCTGTCCCTATTGAACTAGAAGAGTGTATTAGACATGTTTGGTTCTAGTCCAGTGGTTCTCAACCTGTGGGTCGGGACCCCATTTGGGGTCGATCGACCATTTCACGGGGGTCACCAAGCAAGGCTGTCCGCCATTTTTTTTGTCCGCCATTTTTTTTCCCCTTTTCCGGCGGGTGCCTTACCTCCCTTGGGCTGGGCCAGCTGGTGGTCGGCCTGCTCTGTCTCTGCCGCTTGCCAGCTACGCCTCGGCCGGCGCAGGGGGCGGAACCACGCATGCGTGGCGCTCCCGGGCAGGGAAAGTCCTCGACTTATGACCGGTTTAGTCCTCAACTTACGACCGGTTTAGTCCTCGACTTACGACCGGTTTAGTCCTCGACTTACGACCGGTTTAGTCCTCGACTTACGACCGGTTGGGGTCGCGGCATTAAAAAGGTTGAGAACCACTGTTCTAGTCTATTCCTTGCTTGACTTGTGGCAACTTCCATGATATCCTGAATCAAATCTGTGGTGGAAAGTTTCACTATCTAGCCTAATAATTAGCTATGCAGCTTTTAAAAAATCTGTGATGAATTCTAATGCAGGTTCCAACCCACCAAGATCCTGTTAGTGTCTCTCTCTGGAATAATCACAAGGATTATTCCAGCATTCAATTTTGATATTTGTTTGGACTGGCGTCTTGCCATCTGCTTCTTGTTTCCTTCTCTAAAATGTTGACCACCATGAAAAGATCATCCTTGTTCTGTTAATTTGAACAGGTTTAGCTTACATGTCCTTATATTGCTTTTCCTATTCTTTTCACCATATGTGAGAGTGAAATCAGGAATTACATTTCTATGGATGACATTTGTAAATAAAAGCCTAGCTGAGCTCTGATCTTAGAAGACTAGAGAAGTACAAATGGCTGGTGCGATGAGTGCAGAAACACACAAATGTAGTAAGATCAGATGGAAGTAAAAGTGTGAACTGTGCATAATAGGCGTTTGGGTACCAACGAATGATAACAGAGGGTTGATTTTCTACTTGATGCTTCTATAGTACTCTACAAAGTAATGAGAAGAATTTTCTTCATATATTCCCCACCCCTGGTTTCCTTAAGTTTGTGATTATTAAGAATCTCCTCATCATAGGATACATGCAATGAATGTGATAAAACTTTGTTTACACTGCCATGCTCTTCCTTACAAAGGGGATACAGAAAATCTTTTAAATTAGTAAATGATATTCCTGATTCTAACTATAATAGCCCTTGACCGGATCATAAAGGAACCTGCCCTTTATGAGTATGTCATGAGAGTCATACAATGGATGACCAATATTATTTTATGATGTTTTTTGCAGTGGTAGCTAACCCAATTATCGTGGTTATAAGTGAACCAATGGTTTACTATGGCATGCTTTTGCTGAAAACCAGAAGTAAGGGCTGGCTTTTGGCAAAACTATCATAAAATATGGCCACATGACTTCAGGACACTGCTCACAACTGTAAATACAGCTGTGTTGCTAAGTGCCTGAAGTTTCATCATGTGTTCATGGAAGGGGCCCAGTTGTTGAATCTTTAAATCACAATCATAATTCCCCCTTTTGGATATCAATTGTAACTTTGAACAGTTGCTAAGTGACTAGTCATAAGGACCCTGTGACTAGTATTAGTATTGTATTGTGCTTCTGTCAACTGTCAGGTACCAAAAAGATATTTTAGAATAATTCCATCTTCAGTCCCAAAAGGAAGACATATAATTGCTTCTTTCTACTTTGAGATTTTCTCTTATCATTATTTCCTACTCCACAACCCACATGCTGGCACAGAATCTCTGATACAGAAGCAGATGGGACAGAGAAGTGTGAAAAGATTTGGGAAATGAGATAGGGCTGTTTTCGGGAAGTTTTGAGAGAACAGAAATTGGGCACAGGGGGATTTCATATATTTCCCTGAGAATCACTGGCCCTAGAGAACAAAAATAGGTATACTGAAGACAGAAATTGCAAGAAAAAGTTATTTATTATTAAATTTATTTACCTGGGGAAAGGGGCATGGTAAGAAGGAAGGCTGTGTAGAAGAGAGGAGAAATGTACATCAAAAGATTCAAGTTAGTAAAATCCAAAAGAGGTTATGAAGAGCTCCATCTAATCCTCAACATGACAGATGAAAACCTGTGTTGATATCTGCAGATTAATGCCCTTTGAGACAATAATCCCAAGTGCATAAATGTATGTTGATAATTCTGAATTGGCTTTAATGCTGTGTGTGTGCCCAGAATTATTCCGATGGGACTGGATGTCTCAGGCGAGCACTCTTAATGCCATTATATAAGTGAAGTGCATCCATAGCAAGAATACTCAATGTGATTTTAGTTATCCAGCTTGAGCCAGGCTGATGATACAGGAGGCATATTTTTCTTCTGAGAAGACAGACCTAAGTAATTGGGGAGTTAGAGCATAGAAAAAATACACTAAAAAGGGCATACTTCAAGAATACCATCATACAGAGACTACTGCAGTAAGAATAACTAATGGGCAAGCTCCCTCTTGGAAAACATAAACCACTGATTGATATCAAGCTTAATACACTGGAGGGTTTATGTAGCCAGTCATAAAAGAGGATGACATTGCCATTATGTTTTTCCCTGTTGTGATTAGTTGATATGCAGCCAACAGACAGATTGCTGAGCTGAACTACACTGATCTTTGGCGCAGAGCGGCTGCTAGGGGTGTGAAGGACTGCTGCAGATGCTGTTTTTGACTTGGCCATGGCACAGCAGGGGAACTCCCAATGGTGCCAGCTGATGTGCCTGACCCCCTTGCAGATGCTCCTCGGGAATCTTCCTCCAGAGACCAAGATGTTGGGATCAACTCCAAAAGTGTCTTTGACCAATTAATTTCCGTTTCTGGATGTTAACATTTTAACTAAGTTAGGCAAATTATACAGATGCTGGGCTTGCCGGCCAGAAGATTGTCAGTAAGAGGCACCGCATGGTGGGGTGAGCTCCTGTCACTTGCCCCAGCTCCTGCCCACCTAGCAGTCCCAAAGCATGCAAATGCAAATAGATAAATAGGTACCATTTTGATGAGAGGATAGCGGTGTTCCCTGTGCCTTGGCGTATAGTCATGCTGGCCAAATGACCACAGAAATGTCTTTGGGCAACACTGGTTCTTTCGGCTAAGAAACAGAGATGAGCATCATCCCCTAGAGTTGGACGCAACTGGGCAAGGGAAACCTTTACCTTTTTACTTCTCAATTTTTAGACTTTGAACAGTGTTGAGCCAGCAAGAAAGAGTGACATCCAATTGTGCTGGGCCTTATTGGCCTTAAGTAAGCCCTCTTTTGGCCCTTTTGCCATAGTGGAGAGAGATTCCTACTAGTTTGATACAGGACAAATTATGAGAAGCCTAAACTTGTGTATGAAGGATTTGACAGGAGCATTTTACAGGCAGCTGCTCTATGGAAGCCAGCTGTCCAATTTCTCTTGCACCTAAGCCAAATTGATCAAAGAGACCAATCCCAGGAGTCAGAGAAGAAGCGGGGTGCCTGCAGAATCCTGAAGTAGCCAAGAGGAACCAGGCAGATCCCCATCCAACAGTAACCACATCTTTGAGGAAGCATCCTGTTTGTATCATTTTGTTTTATATTTTGAAAATGAATAAAGGGATATGCTTGGAAAATAGCTGCAAAGGACAGAGAATAACAGAATAACAGAGTTGGAAAGGACCTTGGAGGCCTCCTAGTCCAACCCCTGTTTAAGCAGGAGACACTATGCCATTTCAGACAAATGGCTGTCCACTTTTTCTTAAAAACCTCCAGGGATGGAACACCCACAACTTCTGAGGGCAAACAATTCCACTGATTAATTGTTCTAACTGTCAGGAAATTTCTCCTTAATTCTAGGTTGCTTCACTCCTTGATTAGTTTCCATCCATTGCTTCTTTTCATGCCTTTAGTGCTTTGGAGAATAGGTTGACCCCCCCTTCTTTGTGGCAGCACCTTAGATATTGGAATACTGCTATCATGTCAGTCCTTCTTTTCACTAGACTAGACACATCCTATTCCTGCAACTGTTATTCACATCAGATTAAAGAAATAAGAAATAAATAAAGGACTTTTAGCACATTCTAGTTAGTTTGAGGGTTGAGGCTGCTAATTTAAGAAAAAAGAAAGAAGTTAGAAAATAAAAGGGTGGGAAATGTCAACTTTTTGAAAGAAACTAGTCAGGAAACAAAGACCATAAGAAATAGAACTCTATCGATATAGTCTATAATGGGTGGGGAATGAGGGCCCTTTTATGATTTGTGGACTTCAATTCCCAGATTCCTGAGCCAGCCAGTAAGTTGAACTCCACAAGTCATAAAGGGGCTACTGTTCCCCACCTCTGGTCTATAATATCAAAATCTTGAAAGCCTGGCAGGGTTCTTTTTCCTCCCTTTTAATCCCAAGAGAGTTAAGTTGGGCCAATCTTGAGTTTCTCCCTCATCCCCTACTGTCAATAGAATAGAATAGAATAGAATAGAATAGAATAGAATAGAATAGAATAGAATAGAATAGAATAGAGCTGGAAGAGACCTTGGAGGTTTAGTCTAGCCCCCTGCTCAAGCAGGAACGTTTTTTTCTGGATCAACTAATGATTTTGTAATGGCTGCTATATAGTTTCTTCAAAGTCATCTTTATATTTCTCTAGAGACAACCTTCTGGTGGCTAGTTTACCTTCTGAGAAATCAAAGACCGTAGATAAGTAAGTAGAGGTCCCTGGGCCTCAAGTACTTGTTAATGGGATCTCAACATCTGTACAATTAAAGTGTTGATGGCTGCATTCCACTAAGGAGACCTGTTCTGGTGCCTTGGACTCAAATACAAATTGCCCAGCAGTCATGGTGACTTTGGGCTCTTTATCCAGGATGGAGTAGCTTGAGCAGGTTACATCAGTACAAGGTACCAGATCTGGGTTATAAAAAGTCAGATGACCACTTTTCTGTATCTCTTTGCTGCCATCTTATGGTTGATACTGATGTAGTCTCACCTGTATCCGGTTTGATCCAATTCATGGAAAGTGATTATTTAAATAGCCTGTTTAATAAAATCTTAACAGCTGGGGCTGCTGAAATATACACCCTCCAGAAAGGGAGAACAACTTACCTGTTTCCCAGCTGGACATGGCACCTCTTGGTGAGGACTCAGTTCTGAAGTCTGTGGAGATACAAAAATATGGTTTTTATTTCTGTGCAGGGATGGGGCTTTGGCTATCCTTCAAATGAAAATGAAAGTGCTGTTCTCTTGCTTTGCCTCTACCCTCTGTGGAGCATAAGCTGATTTTCTATTGAGTTTCTAAGATAAGGCCATGATCAGAAGGGCTGCTGCCGGGAGTGGGGGCTGATACCTGGCATTCTCTGTGGGAGCTCCCTTCTTCTAGAATACTGTAGCTTCCCTCCCTCCAGGTCTGGATGACCCTCCTCCCTTGGTGTGGCCTTCCAGAAGGTTGTGGAGATCCGGATGTTCTGGAAATCTTGGGAACTTAAGTGGTGGTGGTGGTGGTGGGAGTTATCAAAACTAAATGTCTTTATCATGATCTAATCTAATATGGGTCAGACACGACTTCGCAATTAACAACAACAACAACAACAAATCTAATATGATAATTACAGATTATGGTACAGTAGTCAAGATATCTTGATATTGCACTGGTTAGTTGCTGTTGTCTTTTCTGTGTTATTTAAGGTTTTTTAAAGATTGAAGCAGCTCGATATGTTTCATGAATAAATAAAAACTTTGAAACTGAGCCAGTTTGGCCTAATAGTTACAGCATCAGTCTAGAAAGCAGGAAAACAAGAGAAAATGAAATGAAATTCTGCTTATCTAGGCAGTTGCTTCAGGTATGTGGCTTTGTGGCTATATCAGAACACAACCAGGTTTGGGATCCAGTTGGGACTGCATCTTCTTGGAAGTCCCAAGGCAGCTTACATTTCTGCCTTCTCTCTCTCTCTCTCTCTCTCTCTCTCTCTCTCTCTCTCTCTCTCTCTCTCTCACGCACAGACAGACAGACAGACAGAGGGAGAGGGTTTTTCTTTTTTTAAAAAATATCTTATTACATACTTGGCCCTTTTCCAATATTTTCAGGCTTTCTTGTCTCACACGTTTTCAGGCTTCTGGTCTCTCACCTCCTCCTTACAGAGGTGAAGCTGCTGTGGTTTCATGTTATCATTGCTTCATTATTTTAATATGAAGAGGAGGAATGGTGTCATAGTTGCAGAGTCCATTTATGACATCTAGGCTGACTCTGTTTGCAAAGGCAGCTGCCCAACTAAACAGATCTTGGATTGGGGTCAGGATGGAGGCAGATGTTTGTGCTGATAGATCAACAGGAAGGAGAATATGGTCTTTTCACTATTTTAATGGTGGCTGTGAAGAGGACACTTTGAGGGTCAGGGTATAAACATTTCTAAGGATTTGGGGATTGAAAACACGGATCCATCATCCCCATCCATCAATTTATTTCCTTTCTGATGTGGAATAAGAGAAGGATTATCTACTACCCTACTTTCCACCTCTATTCCAGTGTTGTGTGCAAAAGAGGCTTAAAACTGGCATACCCCAAAGCATCTGTCTTTGGAATGGTTTGTGCTAATTATCCACGTGTTTTTTTTCTAGTGGCTTTGGAAAGTTTTGTGTGTTTTGAAATATAAATATATCAATTATGTAGACTGTTGATATTAAGTCCTCTACCTTTTTTATCTCTTGCCTGTTGCTCTCTCCCTCCCTCCCTGGTTTTGATATTTCATAATATTTAATAAATATAACTATATTTTTGTGCTAACTGAACTGATGGTATGGTGCTTATTTTGATCCCTATATAACAGTGTTTCCCAGCCTTGGTCACTTTAAGATATGCTGGCTGGGGAATTCTGGGTGTTGAAAGTCCACATATCTTAAAGTAGCCAAGGTTGAGAAACATTGCTATATAGGGATAGACTGGGAGTGTGTTAGGTGCATAGAAGGAGTTTTCCAAGAAAAGGGTGGTAGATGGAAAGAATCTCACTAAAGCATCATTAACTTGTCTTCAATAGATTGTTGAATAAAACTCAGTTGTGGAATTGAACTGTCTAGAAGAGAATGGCAAAACACCTAAGGGTAATGAGAGGAAAAAGGTGCTCCTTGATCTTTGCTGTCCCCAATGGCTTGATGGACAAGAAAGGATGGATTTAAAAAAGACCCAGAAATGCAGGAATGATGTGTTATTAGAAATAATTGAATTAAGTCATAATAGTGGTTCTAGGAGTTTTCAACTACAATTTTTATTAGTCACCAAAATTCTAACATCTCCTGCTTCTGTAAGATGGATGCTTGTATTAAAACTGAAAGTTTAGTTTCTGAAGTGTTTAATTGGTATGTTTGTATCCTTGTCTCAATGGGACAGCATTTGAATTATAATTATATATGACTGGCAATTTTCCTGGGGCTCATCTGATCTCAACTAAAGCACTGCAATCATAGTCCAGCTACCTGATTTAGCTGCTCTGAAATCACAGAGGACCTCAGAAATGGCATCTTGTGCAGCCAAATGCTAAAGAAAAATGGGAACACTAAGGTTTTTGAGGAATATTTATTAACATTAAAATATATACATGGCTCTCTTCAGACCTTGAGATTTCAAATGTAATTCACAAGCATCAGTGGAATGAATACAGGCGCTTTTACTTCTTGTTTTTGTGCATAATCATAAGCATAGGAAATCATGAAAATAAACAGTCAAGCAACAGTAATTTTTCCCTATGTTTACATTCAGTACTTACGTCTTAGAACTGTGGTGGTGATGCATATCAAGAGATAGAACTAAGTTTTTTTTTCCTTTAAGGCAGGGGTCTCCAAACTTGGCAACTTTAAGACTTGTGGACTTCAGCTCCCAGAATTCCTTAGCTAGCCATGCTGGCTAGGGAATTCTGGGAATTGAAGTCCATAAGTCTTAAAGTTGCCAAGTTTGGAGATTCCTGCTTTAAGGAATAAAACAAAGCAATGGAAACAGCCAAGGTAGATTGGAGATAGTTTTCCAGTTGTTTTTGTAACTCATCAGTGGAATTCTCTACATAATAGCACCTTTCAGACTGCAGAAGCCTCTTCCTCTCCACCCACCGCCAGCATTTTCCAAACAGTAAAAAGGAATTTGTCCTTTGAAATGCATTAATTTATTAGCATCATAATTATATCATTTAAAAAAACATTGCTTTTCTCTGATCACCATTATTGACAGAATATTCTCTTGGAAAAGATTGCAGACTACACAATAAGTGCAAGCAAATATCTGTAGATATATACATGAATTAACCAGTGGAGTTGGGGGGAAAGATATAAGTATTTTATTTTGTGGATCAGGAATTTTAAAAACAAACAACACATCTTTGTTCATTTACAGCTGCAGTGGACAACAGAACTGCAGATCAGTTCAAACAGCAGTCGGCTATTAGACAACTTAGAAACAATTAGGGTGAACCCTTTTTGGTCAATATTTTCTGCAAGCTCCACACTTTCAAAATACAGACTTGCCTAAATGATTACACAACTATGAATATCAGATAGAAAGTTAAGGCAACCCAGCAATATTTGAATTCATGTAACTGTGCATTGTAAATGATTGGCAAATGGTCGGGCCAGTGATTTTTAAAGACACGCACATTTTCTCCTTTAGGCGTGGTAGTAATCATTAGGTAGTTCCCTGTAGGGTTGAAAAAGAGTTATCCAAAATTTAGGCTCAGTGGAAAACATGGGAATGTTTGAGATTTCCTGTAGATAAATATACTTGGTTTTGCGATATAAACTGCACAGTGGGATACTTGCTGTTTTAAAAAAGCATAAAAGTGAATTGTTGAAGAATGATTGCTCATGAGACCTTTGATGAAATTGCATGGCTGTCTAATTTAGTCATGATTTATTTCTGAATTTCTGTAGGTCTGCAAGCTTTATTTGATCTAACTGGTAGCCAATTCAAGTGCAATTTTAGTTGAATAATAAGCAGATGACAAATTTTAATTGGCAGAGCTGAAAGCTAAAGGGACAATAGGTTTATTATTTTGAGGCCTTTTGATTCTGGTTTGTTACTGCAAGAGAAAAGGAATCTGTTAGATGCAATATTTCTTTCTAGTAAAGAATAATAACTGTGGTGTCTTGAATCTGCTGGATTGCAGGTCCAGATGGACTGATTCATCCCAGGACAGCTTAACCAAGGGCTTTCAAAAGAATATCCGCAATGTCTTCCTCTTGGCTGGGCAACTGGACCCTTACCTCTGACACTGGCATGTCCTCTTGGCAAGCAAATGCTGCTTAATTTGTGCCATCCTCTTGGCTCGTTGCTGCCAAAAGACAAAGGAAAGATTATCCCTTTTTCATGTTCTTTTAGATCTGCTTCCATGGTTTTTGTTTTGTTTTGTATTTTTTTGTTGTAGAATGCAACCTCTCTTTTGGTTTATGGATAGGTGGAAACTCACCTGTTTCTGCTTAATACGTTTACAAGTAGGTACACAGACACCAACAAGAATTAACAGCAGGAGCATTGCGCCAATCCCCGAGGCTATTTTGATCAGTGAGAATCTATTCTCTAAAGTAGTCTCATTTAAGGTCTTTCCTGTGGGGGGAAAAAAAAAGATTTGAAGTTGAGAACAGAATGTGCACAGATACGGAGCCAGGAACAAGATGGTAGTGTTACTTACCTTGGAACTTACCCAGAATATAGTCAATACTGATTTTCACATTGTTGTTCACTTTGAGATCACACCTCCAGAGCCCTTCAGTTGTAGCTACGTGACAGAATTTATTATCTGAAATGGGAGAGCCACATTTGGTTTCATTCGAAGACTCGTTTACATAAACCCAGCACAATTCAGTCAGTGGAGGAGCAGAAGGACTGATATGACCACAAAGGGTCACGTTGTCTTCTTTGGATCTGAGCGTGGGAGGGACAGCAGAGACTGGAGGGAAAGCAGGAAAAATATATTAGGGAAACAGTTTTTACAAGATCTAGGAGAGAGCATTCCTTACCACGAAGAATATTTTATCATATGATCTAAAGTACTAGGCTGTTCATGGTGCTGGAAAGAGTCCCTTTCAATGGAAAGAGGACAGAATTGATGATATCAGAGGATATAAACACAGCTTAAATCAGCAGTATGCAAAGATGATTCAAGTTTTTCCCATATATTGGCACCAAAATATGTAGCTATTCAATTACATATTCAACTTTCAGAAGCTGGTTTCCAGAAAATAAGTAGCTCAGAATAATTAGCAAATACTTCAGGTGTTTTAGCCATAATCCTGTGCAAACTATATTGATTGAACCATAAAATCAACTCTTCTTCTAGTCTCATTGCCCCCATCCAAAGTCAGAGCCCTTTTATTTAATCTTAGCAATAAAGCTGAGGAATTATCTTTATTTCTCAGCTAGAAGTTTCCCCAGCTGCAGATCAGACTGCAAGCACAGCAACCAAGGTCCCATCAAAATGTGTCCTTAATTCTTGAATTACAACTGGCCAGACACCCCCCCAAAGCTACTTATGACCATTTTCAAAGTTGCAATGGCCTTGTACAATCACACAATTGCATTTGGGTGCTTGGCAACTAGCTCACATTTATACCTGTATGAAGCATCATGTGACCAAGATTTGTGCTTGGTTCCTGCAAAAGTGCCCACTGGGGAAAATTGATTTGCTTCACAGCTGCAGCATTTACTTAGCCATGGTGGTGTTCACTTAACAACCATTGCAAAAAGCTCAGAAAATTGGGTCTAGTCACATGATGCCTCAACTTTCAACTGCAATGACTTATGACCATAATTTCAGATTCAGTTATGGCAATAAATCAAGGATTACCTATATTTATAAGACAGGATGGGAAGTAGATTTTTTAAGCTTCATACTTCATACTTTACTTTTCAAAGTTGGTTCGAATTTACTAAATGGTATAATAGCTTGCTATGTTGCATGACTTAATAAAGTAGATAACCACCTTCCACCTTACTAGGAAAAGCATCTGCCAGTTCAATATAGGGCAATCTCTTGTATAGTAAAGCATCACATGTCAAAATAAGCTCCCTGGAAGCTCCTACAGTAAATGTACCACATAAAATAAAATTTTATTTTATGAAGTTATGCAAATGGAAAAGAAAATGTTTCCCCATCAATAATAATATGATCATTAAACTACGAGTATACCACATTTCCTTCATTAAACTTAAAGGTCTGCTTTAGGATGGAGGAATGGGATATCATTTTATCAAAAGCATTGTATTTTCCTGCTGTTTATCTCTAAAACCCTAAGCTGTTTGGGACAGCTGTAGTGAGCTGACTTGTCCTGAAGTTCTTCAATGGAGTTTTTCTGTATAGGGACCATCTTTACATCCCTGTGCCTCCATCCTCCCCCACACCATCACCTATTCCTTGGATTGAAAACTGCTCAACTCCTGTTGGCCACTTTAGACATGCATGTCTTCTGTCCTCTGGTCATGGGAACTGTCCTCCATGGCCACAATGGCAGGAGTCAGCATAAGTGAGACACATGTCTAATGCAGGTCTTGTATGTACAAGTTCAAACTGGGTAAAGGGTTGAGCACATAAAGCCTATGTGCTCTGATAACCTGTCTGATAAGTTTCAAAAAGAACAAAACCGTTCGTTCGTTCGTTCGTTCGTTCGTTCGTTCGTTCGTTCCTTCCTTCGTTCCTTCCTTCCTTCCTTCCTTCATTCATTCATTCATTCATTCATCTATCGAATTTATACACTGCCCATCTCACCTAAGTGATCCCTATGGTCAGTAGTGATATAATCATTGTAATGCAGAGTTACACAGCCTCAGGAAAGAGGTCTTGAGACATCTAGCATAAGCTGCAGATCAATTAAATTCTATAATCCTTTAGTCTGAAAGTGCAAATGAACAAGAAAGGAAAATGTTCCATTTATAGTTCCTTATATGCACCAATTTAGCACTTCCTACATCTGTGTTTAAAAACAGAACCAGTGCTTTCTGGAGTGAATGCTAGACCTATCTGCACAAAAGGTTGATTTCAACCTGGAAGTGCCAGTTTTTACCAGCTGTGAGTTGTGTACCTATACTGCAACCTGATTGGCTATTTTTGGTCACAGTGCTTCTAAAATAGTCTGACTTGACAGAACTCAGACCCAGAACACATCCATGCCTGCATCCTCTTACCAGGCAACTTGACTGAACCAACTCTTCTGAACCCCATGACTAATGTGACCTACTTCGCTCCACACCAGCTAATGGGAACGATTGTGGTTTTTCAGCCCCAGCAGGCAACCCTCAATGGGAGGAAAACAAAGCCAGGAGGATCCACCAATGGTTCCTTTTACTTGTCCTACATTAAAATAGTAAGGACAGTGCTCCTCATCTACTTCTCACCTGAAGCAGAGAAAGGAGTGTAGCACAATGGATTCTTGGATACTTTTCAAAATTATTCCAAAGCTTTGGGAGTGAAAAACAGTGCTTTATAGAAGTGCATCTGTGCATTATATGGCAAAAGGAAAGCAGCTTAAATGGAGATGCCTTAATTTATGCCATCCATTTGGTAAACTCACAAGATTCGTTTTTCTTGCCATGCACATGTATACATAACTCGAACTAGACTATTGTTTCTCTGTGTCATATAATATATGTGGGCATATGCATAATTCTGTATTTATTTATGTCATGTTTATGTAGTGTATATCGGAGGTGGTGACCCTTTGAGAGCTGAATGCAATAAAATTTCATTTTAATGTATGCCGATAGTGTACATTTAAAGTGACAATAAAGTTATTATTCTATTCTATTCTATTTAGAAGGATGCTTTGAATTTTGTTCTTAACAGAAGGTTGAATTTTGAAAATGTTAAAAAATGGCTGTGTTGATGTTCAAAGGCAATAGCACCTATGGTTAATATAGTAAGCTGAAATTGCATGTTACTGTCAAACAGATCAAGATTTATTCCTACCTTTCATAACTATCAGGTTGATGGTTTTGCTCAAATTTTTATGTTTAAATCCAAGATGGCATTGGTACTTTCCAGCATCTTCAGAATGGACATTGGATAGTTGTTTGATGGAGAAAGAGCTATTGATGTTGCTTATGTTATGCTCCTTCACGACAACATTATTCTTAAGCCATTTCCAAGACTGGACTTTTGGAATCTCCCAGTCTCTTTTTTCCTGCAGGTCAATATTCAAAGGACAGGAAAGGAGGATGTTGCTGTTGATAGCGGCAAACCTGAATTCATCCAATCGATTGGAAAAACCTGATTTTATGTCGGACCAAAATAGAAAGTAACATATGATCAGAATTGTGTACATTGCTGCTTTTTCACTGTAGGAAAAGATTATGGCCCTTTCCCCTCTACAGTAGTGAGTTAAAGTGCTAACCTTGAGATGGCAGAACATTTGCTTCCCTCTGAGCTAATCCCTACTCTGTGGCTGATTCGGGTTAATGCTGAAAGGGATTTTCTTGCTTTGTGAACGTGACACTCATTATTATAGGCAAAGTAATAGGTTTTTCTCATCCTGGGTTGCAACCAGCCCATTTTAGCAAGCTGGCAGCTTGTAGGGAAACTTCCATGAGTCTGGATATTGCCGAAGGAACAGGGAGGATCTGACTTCTGGTCTCTTCAGGTCTAGTTCATCTGCCCCCCTTCTCACACTCAATTTGGGAATCTCCCAAGTTAATAATAGGAAGATGGGAAGCCACAAGGCTCCAGAGAAAGGAAAAGCAAACCATGCCATGATTGTGAATTAGCAAGATCCTCTAGACTAGAGTGGTGAAACTGACTAGATCCTGGGCAGCTACTTTCCCAAGATATCAAAATAAAATAAAGGGAAATTGTTAAAAAAAAATGAACACATTCCCAGTTCAAGCTCCCTCACTGTTTTTGGGATACCGCAAGGGCCACTGAGAAGCTTAACAATAATTTTGCTTGGGCACACTGGACAAAGAGGTTTCTGAAGTTTTTACTGCAACATTTTGACAAAAAAATATATCTGATAAAATCACTATAGACAATGGGCTGTAGTGAATAGACAACAATATCATTCTATCCTATCTGTAACAAAATGTGAGTTAACATAGGATGTAAATTCCAGAAAAAGAGTCAGCGATGAAGTAACCTTATCTTGGCAAAATGCAGTGATACTGGAAGCAGTTAGCAGAGCAAATTATGGTCGATGCTGAACTTTTTATGAGGAAAGACTTTGAGGGAACCCAAGTTACAGGCACTTTGAACCAAATTTAGTGACTTCTCTTACCTAATACCTTGACATTGTAGAAGAGCGTAAGCTTATAATGAGAGATGTGACATTCCCATATCCCATGGTCCTCCTGAACTGTAAGGTTTGATATCTGTAAGCCATCCTTTTGCAGTTTCCATCGTGGCTCTTTGTCTGTTACTTTGGCCTTGTGGGGTTCAAACCATTCAATCCTGGTATCTTTGAAAGGAGACAGATGCAGCTTTAAAGTGTCGCCTTGCAGGAGGTATCCGCGTTTAGATCCAGTAACTGTGAAGGAAAGAAGGCCTACTGGTAATTTTTCCTTCCCATGCCTCCTCCCAAGGATAATTTATTTATTTAATTACTCATTCAATAGCAGAGAGAACAAGAGATAGACAGAGAGGCAGATTTCATGATCTCTGTTATATCATTCACCTTTCCACACTTCAATATCATAAGTAGCCACCTGCTTTCCATTTACATCACAGGAATATTTTCCTGGTTCTGCTTTTGGCAGTTCTAGAGAAAAAGTCTTCTCATCCTTCAATATGCATGTTACAGACTTTTCACCTTTGAAGAAAAGAGAACTGGATGAAATTAAAGCTTAAACATAAAGACTCATATCTCTCTTTATTGGTTATATGTGGAAGGGTTCAACCAGTTTTACCTCTATATACTTGGCCTTTCATTATCTGTAGCAGAAGTTTTCCATTATATTTCCAGGTCACTTTGGATGCAGTTATCGTGTCAGTGTTATTTAGACAGTGAAGTACGACAGGCGCGCCAGCAATAACATTTAGCTTTTTAGCCCTCACGGAAAACATTGCCCCTAGAAGAGCTAGAGGGTCAAAATAATGGAAGAATAAAGGAAAATCAACGATGAGAAACAAATGAAATTTCATCATGTTTCTGAGAAGTTTATAATCTGAGTCGCTGTACTATATTGGCCTTTTATGTTACTCATTACATTTTAACATATCTATTTACATTTTAAGTATCTGCTGATTTACTCTGGAGTTTTCAAGAAGTCTGTCATTTGCAAAAGTTTTTGTCACTGTACAAGGCATTTGTTTTAAAGCAAGGTCAAGGAGAAATGAAGAATAAATTGATCAGTCTCCAGACAAGGAAGAGAAATGTGCACATCATTATTTTGTATAAACTACCATAGAAGATGGTTATGTCTAGTTTTTAAATCAAAGGAAATTAATTGGATTTAGTGGTGATGTAGCAAACCCGCTGGTAATGTCAAAATTCTGTTCTTCTTTGTGAGCATAGATATCAGTGCACTAAAAAAGAGTAGCCCTATTTCTCAATGGACTTTTTCACAGGAAATGTGCTGCATTTTGGATCCAAAATCATAGAGATTGTTCAGAGTGGACATGAGCCCACACAGTTAGTGGAAAGCCAACAGCCCAGGTTTGAGACCTGAGCATTCCGTGATGGAGCAAGCTCCCATCCTTACCTCACCTCCTGCCAACCTTGGAGTTCGAAAGCATGCAAATGCGAGTGGATAAATAGGTACCACTTTGTTGGGAAGGTAACAGTGCTCTGTGATGTCATGCTAGCCACATGACTGTAGAAACGTCTTCAGACAATGGTAGCTCAATGACCTTGAAATGAAGATGAGCACTGCCCTCTATAGTAGGCAGCGATTAGTGGAGTAAAAAAATCCACAGGGTCTCCCATGCAATTCCAGGAAAATTGGAAGCTTAACTTAAGGGGACACCAACAAGTGAGCTTTTAACTGATGGCTAGACCATTGGATTTGCTGTAGCGTTTGATCAAAAACTCTTTGGGTTTTTGCAACTGTTTTATGCTTCTGCATTGGGATACTTTTGAATATGAGTTTATTTCTGTTCCAAAATATCAGGGGAAATACCAGTTGATATTCAGACTCTTTTTAGACAAAGATTTAGAGCATTTCCAGGAGAAAGGTAAATCTGTATTGGCCAAAACCAGTAATGAGTAGATTCACATTCTTCTCACTAGTCTCTTTCTTTCTCCTTCTGCCTTTGAAGTAATTGCTTTTGTTATGCTTAGATTGAGGATTGTATGTTGGTCTTATGATACTCTCTTGGGGGGGGGAAAGGATAAACTTGGAAAAGAAGCAAACCTGAAAGAGATTCGTAAGGATAAAATGGTGTTTATAACTTTATAAAGGGAAACTCAAGAGGAAAAACCAATAAATCATTAAATTAAGTAAACATAAAGGACAGTTCTTTACATTAAAGGATGTATGGTCACTGTATCTTATGGCCACAGGTCTCCCACCTTAACTTTAGAACTTCTATATGGATAATTCATGCTGGCCATTGTGAGTACATCTCAGTGTATATGCTGATGAACTGCTAAAAATCACCCAGTGGGGCTTTTTTTCCCCACAGTAAAAGTTATGAAAATAAATGAAAATTGTTAGGCTGCAGACAGGAAAATAAGAGATCAAATGACAGCTCCATTGTGCCACAAATATATCTTGCCATAAACTCACCCAGGTAAAGAACAAAAGCAACATGGATGCTGTTTAAAACCATATTCACCAATGCACCGTTTCACCTGGACAACTGACAGCTGTGATGAATTCCTGGCAGAAAAAATAAAAATCATCAGGAAAAATCAACATGGTTTATTCTAAAAATACCTTGTAGCATTCAATATGTAGGGCAAAAACAACTAGAAGTTTATCTTCAATTCTGAACAAAAGAAAAATTAATCACCAGTTTAAAAACTTAAAGAATTTGAAATAAACAGCAAAAAACTAAAGAAGATTTTGATCTATGAAATTTACAAGTGAATTAAGAGTTCAGTTAAAAAAAAGATCTGAGAATTAACTATAAAAAAATAAATAGCTTCTTGTGGGAACCAGAGTTATTTTGTTCACCTTGGTTCATCACAAAGATAAGCAACTTTATGATTGTAGAAACTGGATATAAGAAGGACTAAAGATTCTAAGTAGAAGGGGGGAAAAATACAAGCCAGCTTTTGGTGTTGGTTAACTGGAACTTATAAAATGATACATAACATTATAACATTGGAAATATTAAAGGAGATGCTTGAGAAATGGAGCCAGAAATTAGTAGTTATAGTATCTATAGCATCAGTAATGAGATGTGATGCCCTCTATTGATTATGTCCAAAAGATGTCTATGAGGGAATGACAGATATGGAGCAAATGTTGTCTGACAAGACAAAGAAAGTATCAAAAGTGAAAGCAAAATAAGAGGCCAAGAGAATGATTTGGAAAAGGATGCTTAACTGGATATACAAAAGAAACTGGTTGAAATTTAAAAAATTAAAGGAGAAAGTCAAATGACAAATCAAGAGAGTGACCTGGAAAATGTTTTCTTATTGGATCTGCAAAAGAGGCTTGTTAAGCCCTTGAAGAAATCTGTGCAATGGAATAAAGCAGGGGTATTAAACTGCCGGCCGGCGGGCCAGATGCGTCATAGTGAAACCGTGCCCACCCCATTGCCGGCAATGGGAAAAAAGTTGTGATACGTCACGACACATCACGTGACATTGCGAGTTTGACACCCCTGGAATAAAGAATTGAAAAGAAATCAAAGCCTATGAGAATATTTGAATGGACTAAAGACAGACATAAAATGAGGGAATATAAAGTTAGTTTATTTGATTTAGACTGTAATCAAAATTCATACACACACACACACATACATTCATACAGAGAAGCAAAAGGTCATTTCTCAAAATATTGACCAGATTCTGTAGGTCATCATACAATCCCCACATGATATCGACTAGAAACTCTGTCTTCCCTAAAAATATCTTTGGCAGAGATTCCACAGCCTAAAGTGATGATCAAGTCCCTGATAAGCTGGTGCTACTAAGCCATCCCCAGTTATTGTTTGTACTCCCTGACTCTTAAGCAAAGTGGCAAAAAGTGATAAAAAGTGCCCAGACAGGACTCAGAGTCCTGGGAGTATGTTGCATAACTGCCAGCTTATTGTGGTCATCTGCTGCCATTCTTGGGGTTTTTGTCATGTAGAAGGAACCATGATTGTTAACTTTCTTAATATTTATTCAATACATTCCTTTTTGACATTTCACATTGGCTTGAGCTTTGAATAGATTCTTTGAATCCCAAAGAATCTATTGACCACCAAATGGTCACCAGGCTGCCAAGATAGGCGTCCTTTCTGCTTGTGGAGGACTGAGGGAGAGACAATAAGCATACTATAATAGTGCTGCAAAAATACAGGTGACCACTAGATGACAGCCAAGAGATATGGGAAATGTTTAACTCTCTTCCTTATCTGAAAGATTTGCCAGACAGCTCAGAAGAGTCCTATTTATGACCTAGACACCATACATTTTCTTAATGGAACATGTGAGTGGGTAGCCTACAACCTTAAGTCTAGAATGCCAAACTTTCTCTAAGTTTGTGATAGATCATGATTTTTACATGACAGGGCTTATGCAAACAGACTAGTTTAATTTATATTTCATTCACTTAAATTAAATGTCATACTTATTCATGAACCACCTTTAAAGCCTGTGGCTCCCACCAAATTCTCCAAGCTATGCCAGCAAATCTGGAGAATGACATAGTGGATAACCAATTGGAAGAGGTCAATCTAATACACACACAAAAAAAGAGGAGACTTAACAGAGCGTGCAAACTATTATACAATATCCTTAATTTCACATGCTAGTAAAATAATGCTTAGCATCATCGAACACAGATTAGAGCCCTACACGGAAAAAGAGATGCCAGATGTTCAAGCTGGCTTTAGAAAAGGCCGAGGAACACATTAATGCTAATGCATGCTGGATAATTGAGAAAGCCAAAGAATATAAAAAACAAGTCATTATGTGTTTCATTGATTATAGAAAGGCCTTTGATTGTGTCAATCATGTCAAGTTCTAGAATATGCTCAGAAAAATGGCAATCCCAGAACATCTGATTGTCCTTCTGAAAAACTTATGAACTCAGTGAAATAGACGAAAACCAGGTTGGGAAAGGAGTGTCACAGGGCTGTATATTTTCTGATTTTAATTCAAGCTATATGCTGAATATATTTTAAGGGAAGCTGGATTAGAAGGAGATGAGCATGTTTTAAAATTAGAGGAGGAAACATCAATACCTTGTGCTATGCTGGTGATACTACCAATAGCTGAAAATGCAAAGGATCTGCAAACCCTAGTACTAAAACTAAAAAAGCAGAGTGAAATAATGGAACTGAAATTAAATATAATGAAGAAAAAACTAATGACTGTGTGGAACAAATCAATCTTAAAACTGATAATGAAAATATTGAAGTGGTGAAGATCTTCTGCCTTTTTAGGATCAACTATCAACAGTAAAGGAGTAAGCAGTCAAGAAATACATCTCACTCGGCAGAGCAGCCATGAAGGCCCTGGAAAAGATATTCAAATGCCATGAGGTATTTATGCCGGCAGAGAAGAGAATTGGGCAAGCCATGGTATTTCCTATGACACTTTATAGAAGTGAAAGTTGGGCTTTAAACAAGCAGGATAGGAAGAATAATGGTTCCTTTGAATTTTGCTGTTGGAAAAGCGTCTTCAGGGTACTATGGACAGCTAAGAAAGCAAACCAATGGCTCATTAGCAGCAAGACAGATGGACACAGTTACAGTTGCAATGGGGGCACTATTAGAAGACCCCGAAAGGCCAGGTTATGGATAGATTGTCATGGAGAAAAATCTGTCTGTGGGGTAGCTGGGAGTCAAAAACAAGTTGATTGCTCATGATCAGTCAATCAATAAACAAATGTGGGGGGGGGGGAGAGAAAAAGACTAACTAAAAAAGAAAAAAAGTCTAAACAATGTCTGTTAATATCAATATAAAATAAACCTTCAATTTCCAATTAAATATAGATCATAAAGATAACGGTTTATTTTATACTTCCTTGCTTTCAAAGGATAAGCCACTCAGAATCCTTTGGAGCTTGATAGCCTCTAAATCAAATAAATAAATACATATTGCTATGGATCTTACCATTTCTGGAACATATGGAATTTTCAAAAGTAGATAAGAGTGTATATCAGTGTCTTGTGTCTGAAAAAGTATCACTGACCCCTAATCTGAGGTAGGGCAAAATGTTGTATCAGATAGGACCCTGTCCTTTGTCAAATCAGCCTATGAACATATTCCTACTATTGCATCTTCATAGCATGAGCCAGCCATTGTCAAAGTTATATAAAGCCTTTCATCATTACTGTTGTTATTTCATTATGGTGATTGAATGACTCTAGAATTAAAGTTATTAGTGGAGTAACTTCTGATTATATATCCATCAAGCCTGGTGCTATGTATCTTAAATGTCAGCAGCTTTCTCAGATCTCCAGCAGAGCTCTTTCCCATTATACGTAACCTATTTCTTTCACCTGGAGAATATAGAAATTAAACCTATGTGCTTCTTTGGTTCCTTTTGAAAGAAAGTAATACAGTAGGGATTAAAAGCCATGGTGGTGCAGAGGTTAGAATGCTATATTGCAGGCTAACTCTGCCCTTAACAGGAGTTCAATCCCACCAGGCTCAAGGTGAATTCAGTCTTCCATCCTTCCGAGGTCTGTAAAATGAGGACCCAGATTGTTGGGGACAATATGATGACTCTGTAAACCACTTAGAGAGTGCTGTAAAGCACTATGAAGCAGTATATACTGTAAGTCTAAGTGCTATTGCTATTGCTATTTTATAATAAATACACTATATATTTTACAATAAAAGCTCTGGTTATAATACTGAGAGATGTACTGCTGGCAAATGTCCTGAATAGTTAAATATAGAACGTAACAGTGCAGTAGATAGATAGTAATAGGAAAATAATATAGGCATCCCCAAAGTAAACAAAGATGAAATTTGCTGAACTGCTGTGTATCAAGACCACAGTGAGATTTTTAAAAAAATGCAAACTTTGTTAAATATATCTTTCAAATTCTGTAATATCAGAAGTAGAGACTTTGCTCCTTAAAGACTTTTATGTGAAGCAGAAAAAAAATAAATTTATGACTTATGGATTTGATGATTAGAAAACATAGATTACAGAAAAAAGTGATGTAACAAAAGAATAAGAGGTAAGTTTATATTTACAACTGATGTAAAGAAAATGGAAAACTACTTCTTCATGTTTTATTTTTTCTTCTTCTTTCTTTTCTTTTATATTAATTTATGTTTGTTTTTATATCTATCTATCCAGTGGTGGGATTCAGCCGGTTTGCACCACTTTGGCAGAACCGGTAGCTAATTTTTTGTTGCCCAGGCCCAGAATGGACTTCTGGAAGCGGCATCCACACAGAGAACCGGTTGTTCACATATCTGAATCCCACTACTCTGTCTGTCTGTCTGTCTGTCTGTCTGTCTGTCTGTCTGTCTGTCTGTCTGTCTGTCTGTCTGTCTGTCTGTCTGTCTATCTACCTACCTACCTACCTACCTATCTATCTATCTATGAAGTAGAGTCTTTGCTGATGTTGAGATAGAAAGAAGAGTTCAAATGTGACCTTGTAAAGAAGGGGATCGGTGCTAGGAACTGGAACCAGAACAGAAGAGAACTTCCAGAGATGCAATGGCAAACTGAAGACAACTCCACTAAAAAGGATCAAATGACCACAACAGAACAAGAAGGCAGCAAATGCACCAGTTTTGTTAGAACTCCTCTCCAGACAAGGAGAAGACTCAGGATCATCTACACACACTCCAGACAGCAGGTCCTCACAAGGAGACCATCAGGTTTAGAGTTGTGGGAGCCAAGGGACCACAATCTTGCCCAAGCCACAGTCAACAACTTCAAAAGGAAACTCAGTTCATATACTTCCTTTCTTAATCACTTCTGGAAATTGTTAACTTTTTTTTGCATATTAAGATCCTTCAGACAATTTTGAAATTAAGTATAAGAAATCTTTATGTGGAGAAATGCTGTTGGTTAGGGGGGAAAGAACCACGATAAGATGGAATTTTGAAGGTTGGATACTAGAGGGAACTAGAAAGAATTAGAGATTGCAATTAAAGAAGAGAACCATAAATATTGCTTAGGAATCTAAACAAAGGAACTAATGATAATTAAATGATTGTTCAGCATTGTAGCTGAATCAGAAAAATTGGAGCCCTATTTGAGTAAGTTTCAGAGAAACTGGAACAGGTTTGTAGCATGGCAACAATCAGAGACATAGAAGCAGAGGAGAAATGGAGGGAATTGGATGTAGCCAGCCTTGGAAAAATAAGAAGGGTTGGGGAGGGGGGAGTTAAGAGCACTGTTCAAATACTTAAAGAGAATTTCCATTGAAGAAATCATTTCCTGTTCTACGTCATCCAAGAATGTAGGACATAGGATAATAGTCTTAAATTATAGCAGCAATTTTTATATTGATACAATGGGAACAACATTTATATTGAATTCCTCCTCTAAACAAAGAAGGCAAACGTGACCTATAAAATCCCAAGGATGTAATTGCCTTTGTATTTGATGAGGTGGAAAATATAATGTAGAGTTCCTAGAAAATCATTGTTTGTTTAGAAGAGTTGAATAAAAATTATCTTGTTGTGGGGTATGTGTGTGTGCATTTCTTCTTCCTCCTTTACTCTTCCCTCCTCCTTGGCCTTATGGCTGCCTTACCCCCACTCTTCCTCTTTTTGGTACCTGGGATTTTATTGTAAAACTTAACATACATGATAAACATGATCAAGGATGCTCGGCTGACAAGGCCTAGGTCCTTTTCTTGTGGATTTCCCCTTTTCCACATTGCTGTTTATGACAAGATGAGAATGGACTC